CAGGCTGGTCTTGAACTCCCAACCTCAGGTGATCCACCTGCCTTGGCCTCCCAAAGTGTTGGGATTACAGGCGTGAGCCACCACACCCCACATTATTTGGTTCCCTTTTAAAACATCTATTTTCCATTTATGTCTGTGTGTGTGTATGTGTGTGTGTTCACTTAGGAATTTAATAAAAACAAGCCACCAATTTTTGAAGTATTCAAAGTAAAAGAGAGAAATACTCATTACTGAATTACTTTCAAAACTCTGAAAGGCAAAGTACATTATCTGAAGCAGTTTGGTTTCACCAGTCTTTTCTTCTTGGGGCTAAATTACTGAAACTTAATACAATTACGTTTTTACAACAATACAATATAGGTTTAGTTATTTCAAAATGAATGAGGTAGGCCAGGTGCAGTGACTCACTCCTGTAATCCCAGCACTTTGGGAGGCCGAGGTGGGCAGATCACCTGAGGTCAGGAGTTCAAGACCAGCCTGGCCAACATAGAGTGAAACCTCGTCTCTACTAAAAAAAATACAAAAATTAGCTGGGCGTGGTGGTGCATGCCTGTAGTCCCAGCTACTTGGGAAGCTGAGGTAGGAGAATCGCTTGAACCTGGGAGCAGTGAGCTGAGGCTGTGCCACTGCACTCCAGCCTGGGCAACAGAGCAAGTCTCTGTCTCTCAAAAAAACAAAAACAAAGGCCGGGTGCGGTGTGGCTCACACTTGTAATCCCAGCACTTTGGGAGGCAGAGGCGGGGCGGATCACGAGGTCAGGAGCTCAAGACCAGTCTGGCCAACATGGTGAAACCCTGTCTCTACTAAAATTACAAAAATTAGCCAGGCATGGTGGTGGGTGCTCCCAGCTACTCAGGAGGGTGAGGCAGGAGAATCGCTTGAAACTGGAAGGTGGAGGTTGTAGTTAGCAGAGAACGCGCTATTGCACTCCAGCCTGGGTGAAAGCGCGAAACTCTGTCTCAAAAAACAAAAACACACAAAACAAATGAGGTGAACATCAAAGTGAGACATGTAGACATGTGAAATATCAGTAGGTTTTGAAATCAGCAAATCCAACAGCTACTCTCACCACATAATGAGCCCAGGAGCCATTTTAGATGGGGGTAAAGTGTTATACTTGAACACGCCCCAGGGTCAGAACATCCACAACTCCTATTTATTATAACTCTTGGGTGGAGAGAACCCTAACCCCATCATTACAAAAAAACACTTTCTTACTGAATCGAATATAGCATTAACCATAAGATGTACTGTTATTTTGTATGTTGCCAAAAAGAAAGCAATGATGCAAATTAAATTGTCACCAGGTTGATTTTAGGATGCCTCTCCATTTTAGTCAGTATTTTTAAAGTCGCAGAACTGGTAAGATAGGCAGGGATTGTTTTGTCCACTGCTATATTCCCAGTGCCAAGAGTAGCGTACATAATAGTACACGGTTGGCACTCCATAAATGTTTGCTAAATATATGAATGAAAGAATGAATTGGGACAAATAAGCTCTTATGAATGAAAGCCATGGAGAGTGATCATTTTAGGACTGTGAGTACCCAACTTGAACAGTTAAAGCATGAGCTCAACATTCTGTAACTTAAAGTAATACAAAGATTTCCAATTTATTTTTAAAATTACAAAGCTATCTATTTATGTTGCTGCAGAACAGCTCATGTTTCAGGAAGAGTGAAATCTCAGATTTCCTTTATGATGCCTAAGACAAGATGCAAAAAAGTTTTGAGCCTGTCAATGGGAGTCAAATGTCAGGCCAAGTTATTTCCAAACTTGTGTTTTAATTGTGGTGGGGCATAGCTGTGGCGGAGACCGTGTGTTTTCTTGTCCCATTATCACTGTCCATGACGTTCACGCTGCAGAGTTATTTTCTGAAGGCCCACTGCACTCCATGCCATGTGGTGGTGAACAAGATGTACAAGACAAGAAACTCTGGGTGTGACAGGCACTAACCAGACAGGACTCTGGAGCACTGGTGTAAACTGGTCTTAGGCCCCCCGCATAACCTCAGCATCTGCAAATCCTGGGCTGGCTCACCAAAGGGTTTGAGCAAAAGGCTCTGTCTAGGCTGTCTTAGCACCATAAGTATTGTTTCTTGTCTTCTACTTTTGTATAGGCCAAGATCTTTCATGGCTGCATGTACTCCCACTTCTGGCTAAGAAAACAGATGGAAGCTTACACTGTTTTGGGAGTAGAATGGCACATTGATAATTAAGCAGCAATGTAGCTAAGTGCTACAACAGAGACACAATGGATGTTTTAGACCCTGGAGGAGTAGGGCGAGATGCTAGGGAGGCTTTTTGAAGGAAGTGATACTGAACTGAATGCTGCGAGTGAAGAAGGTGTGGGATTCTTTGCAGAGTGAACAGGAGAAGCAAAGGCAGAGAGGTGAGAAATTGTGTGCTGTACACCAAGACCCATGACCGGTTCTGTTGATGGAACATGAAGCAGTCACATGGGGCTTAGGGAGGAAGAGCACCTGAGGACAGATCATGACTTGCAGACACTAAATTTCAAAAAATATTGGTGATGTGGGATCAGATTTGTTTTAGGAAGATGACCCTGGGCTGGTCTGTGGAGGACAGATTCGGGGGGACACAAATGAAGTTAACAAGACCAGTTAGGGAATATGCAGGTGCAGAAGTTTGGGTGAGATGCAAAGGGCCCACAGTCAGAGAATTTATTTCTTTTTTTTTTTTTTTTTTTTTTTTTGAGACGGAGTCTCGCTCTGTCGCCCAGGCTGGAGTGCAGTGGCCGGATCTCTGCTCACTGCAAGCTCCGCCTCCCGGGTTCACGCCATTCTCCTGCCTCAGCCTCCCGAGTAGCTGGGACTACAGGCGCCCGCCACCTCGCCCGGCTAGTTTTTTGTATTTTTTTTTTTAGTAGAGACGGGGTTTCACCGGGTTAGCCAGGATGGTCTCGATCTCCTGACCTCGTGATCCGCCCGTCTCGGCCTCCCAAAGTGCTGGGATTACAGGCTTGAGCCACCGCGCCCGGCCAGAGAATTTATTTCATCAGGAGGTGAAGGAGGGAGGACTGAGGGACACTGGATGTGGGCCAGGGTAAGAGGATGAGGAAGACAGAGGAGTCCAGGACAATCCCGCGCATCCAGCTGGAATCCGAATGGCTGGTGGGAACTAGCAACCAAAAGAAGAGAAAACAGGTGGTAGAGGAGCAGCAGCAGACAACAGGCTTTCGGGGAAAGAAAATACGACGTTTTTTGGCATCCTGAGTGTGAGGTGCCAGGTAGAGAAGCCAGACTAGCAAGGCACATCCCAGTTGCAAGTAGGAAAGGGCTGGGTCAGCAATTTAGGTTTAGAAACCACCAGCATATATGGGGTACCTGGAACTGTGAGAGTAAACAAAATCTCTTAGGGACATCCCTAACAGAATCAAAGTCAGAAATTTTGGTCTTCATTCCTTTTTCTACCAGACTTCCCAGGAAAGTTTATTTTCCTTTTTTGGGTAGTCTGGTGATTTTTCTTAAAACAAACTGAGAATGTCAGTAATGGGGGAGATAATATCTGTTCTTTTAAGCAGATTCTAAATGTATTAGTACCATCAGTAACTAAATCAAACTTTATCTTAAAACCTCTGTCACACATTGTAGTTCATATGGTATGGGCTCACTCAAGAGTTTACAGAAAATATTCTTGGATCAGGTAAATGAAATCATTCAACAGCAGTGCCGTTAAAATCTACACTACAAAGCCCTGTGTGATCTGGCTACTGCCTACAATCTCCAACTTCATCTCATCACACTCCCCCCGCCCACCCACAACTTAATTGGTCTTTCAAACCACTCCTACGGCACGTGAAGCTCTTTCCTGCCTCTGCATAGGAGGTTTCCGCTCATCTCTCTTCAGATTTCAGCTGAACATCACCCGAGAGGCCTTTCCAGAACAGTCTATCAAGAGCAACCTCCTTCACTTCTTGCTATTACCTGGTTTTCTTTCTTTCTCTCTTTCTTTCTTTCTTTTTTTTGAGATGGAGTTTCGCTCTTGTTGCCCAGGTTGGAGTGCAATCGTGCGATCTCGGCTCACTGCAACGTCCGCCTCCCAGGTTCAAGCGATTCTCCTACCTCAGCCTCTCGAGTACTGAGATTACAGGCATGCGCCACCATGCCCGGCTAATTTTGTATTTTTAGTAGAGCCGGGGTTTCACCATGTTGGATTGGCCAGACTGGTCTCGAACTCCCGACCTCCGGTCATCTGCCCGCCTCGGCTTCCCAAAGTGTTGGGATTACATGCGTGAGACACCCCGCCCGGCCTACTACCTGGTTTTCATTTCCTTTACTACAGTCACACAAGGTCTACTTTGCCTGTTTGCCTCCTTGCTTTATTACTAACAGATCCTCGAGAGTAGTGATTCTGTCTTCTCTCCTCCAGCCCCGGCACGTAAAGGTGCTGGTCAAAGAAAGGCGGCAATCACCGACCGGACACCAGGGCAAATGAGGGCAGCCCAGTGATTCGAGATGCCGGCTGGGGAATCGGACCCATGTGGGTCTTTTCTCAGCTTCCCCGCTTACTGTGACTTTCACAAGTAACGGAACACCCTCAACCCGTTTCCTCAAGTGTGAAAAGGCACTAGACACAGCAAGAAGCGGTTCTGGCAGCGCGGAAACCTAAGCACACGCTGGGTGTCACGACAACACGTGGAAGCCGCGTTCCGTGCCAGGGCCCTGGCCCCAGCCCCGGCCCCCGGCCCGCCATGTGGCGCGGCTGACCGCCGCCGTGCGCCCACCTGTCTCCCTCTGCGTCTTCACGCTGATGTACTGGCGCAGCTTCTTCACCGCCCGGTCCCGAATGCCCTTCTCGCTGGACGCCAGCCGCTGGGCAAATTGGATCTCGGCCGGCTGCATGGCGGGGGCCATCGCGCCCGCTGGAGCATCCCCGGCCGCGCAACCCGCGGTGCAGCTGCCGCCAGTCGAGCGCCGCGGAGCAGCCAGCCGCCGTCCGCCAGGGCCGCGACTGCACAGAAGGCGGCGACGGCGCGCGGATTGATGGCGTCACAAAGGCGCCGCCGCTCGCAGCGCGCTCTGGGAGTGAGCGCGGCCGTGGCCCTGGCAGCGGGCGGAGCGGCCCATGTCTTGTGCGCGTGGCGCCGGCGCTGCCTTTCGGTTGCCAAAATTCAGGCTGTACACGGCGAGGTTAGCCAGGGTTAGGATTTGGCCAGGAAGAGACGGACGGCTGTTTGTAAACGGTCTAGGATTTTTTGTTTTTGAGACAGGGTCTCCTTCTGTCGCCCAGGCTGGAGTGCAGGGGCGCGATCTTGGCGGTGATCTTGGCTCACTGCAGCCTCGATCTCCCAGACTCAAGCGATCCTCCCATGTCGACCGCCCAAGTAGCTGAGACTACAGGCGCGCGCCATCACGCCCCACTACTTTTTATTTTTGTAGAGACGGGGTCTCGCTATGTTGTCCAGGCTGGTCTCAAACTCCTGGGCTTAAGCAATCCTCCCGCCTCGGCCTCCCTGAGCGCTGGGATTACAGGCTTGAACCACCGCGCCTGGCCAGTCTAGGATCTTTAATCCCATTTAGCACACCCCGTTGTGCCAGCAGCTCACCTGCGATCTCTGTGGCACGGAGTTTTTAACTGTGGAGCCGCCAGGTGGAGTTGACACTGGAAGGAAAGGCCGGCACTGGGGCCTGTGGAGCGGGTGGAGGGCTCGCCTTCCGCCAGCGCCTGCACAGGCTCGGGCAGGTCGGCGCGCCCCTTACTCTGGAGCCCTGGTGCCAGTGCTGGGGCGCCCGCGCCGGCGTCACGAAGCCTGGAGAGCACGCGCGCTTCCAGGGGAGTTGGGCAGGGCGGGCTGCTTGCTAACTCCAGAGAGGGAAGAAATCTTAGCTTTGGGTTCATCTAAAACCCGAGGACATCCTGTATTTTGCGGACTCAGCGGGCGTGCCGGGGCAAGTTAATGGACTAGGTCACTCCACACGTAGCAGGGGTTATCTCAATTGCTCCGCTCAGTTATCTGGGCGACCTCCCGAGGTGCCTGTTGACACAAAAATTCAACCCTTAACATAAAAGCGCCTGAATCCGAGCGAGGGAAGGCGAACCGCGGAGGCGAGGTTTTCAGCAAAGAGTGCCAGTTTGAAACAGCCCCCCTTAGTGTAGCATTCCTCGCCAAACAGGAAAGGACTCATCCGATTTATTTTACTTGACACTTACATCAGGGGCTGACTTTCCTTCTACTTTGCAGATAACCCCAGCTAAGTTTAAAACCCCGGCTAAGCCAGAAGAGCCAAAGTGGGACCTCGCCAAGACCACTCCTCGCGCTCTCGGCCGAGAATACCGCGCAAATTCTGCGAGGTTTGAGCCTCGCGCCTCTCCGTTCCCGACCCCCGGCGTGGACACGTTCCCGCGCTTTCTGGCGTCAGGGGTCAGAGGGCACGTCGCCGCGCAGGAGAACGGATCCGAGGCCGCGGCTGCCATGGGCGAAGCGGGCGGCGCTGAGGAGGCCTGCAGGGTCAGTGAGGAAGCCCTGGGCGCCGCCAGCGTGTTTGAGCCGTCGCCATTCGCTCCCCTCAGGGCCGCTCCCAGTGCGCTCGGAGACGGCCCGCTGTCGTGTGCTTGGGGGAGGCCTGGGGACTTCCTCCCCGGACAGCGTGGGCTGGGCCGGAGCGGGGTGAAGACGTGGGTGGGAGGCGACTTTCGCCTCCAAACCCACGCGGGGACCCGGTCTGTGAGGCTGCGCGCGGTGGGGGCACTCAGTGGCGCCAAAGTGGGCATGGGAGCGTAGGATGGATGGTCACCTCTCTCTGCCCTGTGGAAGCCCAGTTCCCCTCCGAAGGCCCTGGCCCCGTGCTCCGGGACTTAGCGAGACAGCGTCAGTCTCAGAATCTGCTCTCCATGGATTTTTTATTTTATTTATTTTTTTATTTTTTTTGAGACGGAGTCTCGCTCTGTGGCCCAGGCCGGAGTGCAGTGGCTGGATCTCAGCTCACTGCAAGCTCCGCCTCCCGGGTTCCCGCCATTCTCCTGCCTCAGCCTCCGGAGTAGCTGGGACTACAGGCGCCGCCACCTCGCCCGGCTAGTTTTTTGTATTTTTTTGTAGAGACGGGGTTTCACCGTGTGGGCCAGGATGGTCCTAATCTTCTGACCTCGTGATCTGCCCGTCTTGGCCTCCCAAAGTGCTGGGATTACACTGCGCCCGGCCCCTCCATCGATTTTATAACTAACTGATTGCATGCGATGGAGAAGGCGCTTGGACTCTGGGGCCAGACCCGTGTTCACATCCTGCTTCCACTCCTTATTATTTGTGCTGCATTGAGAGTCACCAAGCTCCCGTGCCTTAATTTCCATCTGGACAATCTTGGAGGCTTGGGGTGAATAGATGAGATCACGGGCAGAAGGCTTAGCAAACCCAGTGGGAAACCAGTCTAGATGACTTCCTTTTCCTCCTGATTAGTTTGGTGCTGCAATGATAAAAAGTTGCAGGCGTTTTCTTTGACTTTTAGGAATAGAGCTCTTGTATGACTTTCGTTTTTCGTGTTCTTGCTCTGTTGCCCAGACTGGGGGGCAGTGGCATGATCATAGCTCACTGCAGCCTCCAACTCCTGGACTCAAACCTTCTTCCCGCATCAGCCTCCTGAGTAGCTGGGATTACAGGTGCATGCCACCATGCCCAGCTAATTTTTGTATTTTTAGTAGAGATGGAGTTTCACCATATTGGCCAGGCTGGTCTTGAACTCCTGACCTCAGGTGATCCACCCGCCTCGGCCTCCCAAAGTACTGGGATTACAGGTGTGAGCCATCGCGGCCTCCTGGGCACGTTTTCATATTTTTGTAGTGACAGGGTCTCTCTGTGTTGCTCGGACTGGTCTTGAACTCCTGGCCTCCCAAATTCCTGGGATTTCAAGTATAAGCCACCACGCCTGGCCTGTTTTCTCTTATTATTTCTAACGTGTGGCTCCTTTTTTGAAGGCTGAAGCTTCAGCTTTCAAAATGTTTACATATACATAAAATAGATCTATAGCAGAACATACAGTAGGTAGATGATTTGAAGTAACGATGAACATAAGAGGCGTGAAAGAAAAGCAAGTTGACTTGGGCTGTTTTTTTTTGTCATGTGAAGAGAAATAAAAGATCTGCTTGTTCTTTTAGCACATAGGTACTAAAGAGGAATTTGTTAAAGTCAGAAAGAAGGACCTGGAACGGCTGACAACTGAAGTGATGCAAATACGGGACTTCTTACCCAGAATACTAAATGGGGAGGTGCTGGAGAGCTTCCAGAAATTAAAGATTGTAGAAAAAAGTGAGTCTTCATTTTCAGCAGTCGTTGGTGGTAACAGTAATTTGTTCTAGCAGATTTACCTTAGGTAAATAATTGTAAACCAATTTTAAGGTACTCTTGTAGTCCTTGCGATGATACTTGGGAGAGTCTGATGACTTAAGAAAGGGAGGTTTCCTCAATGTAGTGACTTGGACATATGTAAGTTGGTATAAGTTGGTTGCCAGTTTCCTGAGCATCTATTATCAGCTTCTATTTCTCTCTCACTCTTCATTGGCAGAAGAATTTTATACTTTTGATAACTGAAAAGCTCTATTCTGAAAATTAAGTACTTACTGTCATAAGTCAAGGTTCTTGCCATCTGGAAACCTTGCATGGAGTTTGCTTGTCAGTACAGATAGCTGGAAGTGTGTTCATTTATCTTTAGGTAGATGGGTGAGCCAGTTTCTAGAACTGATTGAAGTTTAGGCTTTCTGGTGTCCATTCAGACTTTTGAGATTTGAGCTGAGCCATTATGTTGAGTGCCAGTTTAGGAGCCTATTGAAATTCCTGGAGATATTCTGAGATTGTCTCAGCACTTGCCTGATTGAGGCCAAGTCACGATTAAATCAGCTTTTGACGGTTAAGGCCAATTTACTGCATGACATTTGCTTGTTAGCCCTCAATGTGTGCCCTCTGGAAAAGGTGCATCCAGGGGGCCCAGGTAGGTCTAGCACTCATCCAGACAAGAAGATAGGTCACCCCAAGAATATGAGTTTCTGGCATGTGCAAATGTATCTGGTCAGTGGGCCAGCCATATCCAGTTAGAGGGGACAGTTCTCGTGGTTACCGCAGTGCTTTGCCCTGTTTGTATTCTCTCCGAAGTCCTCGGATCCATTCTTCTCTGCCCCGTGGTATGCTCTGGGAGGTAGATTCCTGCAGACGGGGTTTCCGTGGTTCCCTTGCTGGCTGCCAGTGGGGCTCACCAATGGAAGGTATTGCTGGGTGGAGAGAGAGGTTGGAGTGTTTCTTCCCGCTCCCTCCCTGCTTTGCTACTGTTCTGTGGCAGTAGCTGCATCCCTCCAGAACAAATACTCCTGTCTAGAGGCCTCCTCCGTAGTCCTAGCTCTTGCTGGACTCCAGGAATGCCGTTTTCTTCCCCTGCTGCTTTGGCTGTAGGGCTGTTGCTGGTCCCTGGGTACCTCAGTGTCTCTTGATGATTCCGTTATCTCTGCTCTCCCCTCTGTAAGTGGTCCTTTCAGAAAAGTCTCAACATCTGAGTTGATTTCTCTTTCCCACTGGGACCCTGCCAGATGTATGCCATGTCATTGGTTGCCAAAATGTCAGGTCATTGACTTCTTACTTTCCCTAGTTTTGATTTCATGCTCATCCAGCAACTTTCTGAGATTAGTCATTCCTTGTGCATTTGTCTTCAGGAAAGGAAGATAAATAGGCACACACCAGTAGCGGTGCATGTTATATTCTCACTGTAAATTAATAAACTGGCATTCTAAAAGATACATCAGGGTCTCATGAGTTAGTTAACATGAATGTCTTTAGTGATCAGTCCCCCTGCCAAAATCAAACTGAGTGAGGGCCACAAACAAATCTGTGGTCACTTGATCACGGTCTGACTTTGGGAGATCTTATCTCAGTCCTGGCCTCCCCCAGGCTATAGAGTCACCTTTTCCCCCTTAATCTCTCTGGCAATTCCTGCTTATTCTTTGCTGAAATTTATCCTTCTCTGTTTAGCAGCCTTCAAATAGGGCTTGAGGCTCAGGCCTAGGCCCCCCTTCTTGCCTCACCCCATGGCTTCTCTCTAGGCAGTCTCATGTACGCTCCTAGCTTCAGTTACCATCCTGATGCCAGTGGCTGCTGGATTTAGTCTCTAGCCCAGAACTCTCCAAGCTCAAGGCCTTGTGCCTGACTCCTACTTGGCATTTCTTCCTGCTTGTTTCATGATTATTTCAAATTCTAAATGTTTGCCCTAGCCTAATCAGTCTCAGGTCACCAGGAACTGTCACCCACAGTCTTGACAGAGTGAGGTTTATGACTCTGCAATGAGGAAGACCATACCAGAACACCAAGAAACTGTGGGGGCATCTCAACAAAGAAGAGGATAGAGTTGTTATAGGACTTAGAGACAGAGTGGTATTAGGTGAAGCATAAATGAAGCAAAATAGAACTGTGTCTAAAGGGACCATTATCAAGTCTGACTGTGAAGTGGACCCAGGTCCTGTTTCCTTGAAAACTACAAAGTTCAAATAGACGTGGAACATTGTTCTAGAAATCCCTTACTTGAAGCTCTGCAGCAGCTGGAAATAGGGTTCTTGTCTGTGTCACAGTGACTTAGATCCTGCAGGCAAGAGTGGGATCTTCTTTCTTGTATAATTTCAAACAACAAAATTCTTGCGAGTCTGGGATTTTACAGAATCAGGCTTCTCAGTGAATAAGAAGTAGGCAGTCACTCGAAGAAGAGGTCATTATGACACTTGACGGTTGCATTGTCTTTGAGAGAGATTTTCTGTTAACTTGGCACCTGACTTTATCCGTGTGTGTTATTCCAGCCTGACAGAAGTCAGGACAGACTTTTGCTTTCTCGGTGCAGGCTAATGTTTACTTCCTGTTGTCATGTCTGCCTCATGCTATCCATCCCCTGCCCCTGTCTTACACTGGCCTGTCTCAGTCTCCTCAGAGCACCCCACCCAGACTAGAGACCCAGGAGTCTTCCTTGTTACCTGTCTCTCTTCCTCACTACTCCCCATGAAACCTGTCCGCTGGTAAGTCTTGTGAGTGTTACTTCATGGATGCATCCTGCATCATCAGCCTGCGTCTGTCTCCACTGCTGTGTTCTGTCTTCTACTGGCAGTCTCCTCACTGCCACTCTCCAGTCACTCGGATACACTGTAGCCTGAGTAGTTTGTGACAGTTCAATCTGATGATGCTATTCACCTGTGTAAGTCTTCGGAAGCTTCTCTTTGTTTTTAGGATAAAGAACAAAAACCTAAAAAACCCACCCAAACTCACTATCATCCAAAAACCTAAACAAAACCATGCTACAGCTTAAAAACCTTTATATTACTGGGCATAGCCTTGGCCCAGAGTCACTGCCTAATCTGACTACCTTGATGTGATCCATCTTCCTTTGAAATGTTGTCATGGTACCCTATGTTTCTCCTTCAGACACATGGTTTTATTTCCATTTTACTTTATAAGTTATTGGGAGTGCAGGGCCCCTGATTTTGTCTATCATTATCTCCCTGGCTGATTATAGGGAGCACCCTACTGCCTCTGCATGCCCTTCTTTCTTTCTTTCTCTTCCTTCCTTCTCCCTTCCTTCTCCCTTCCCTTCCCTTCCCTTCCCTTCCTTCTCCCTTCCCTTCCTTTCCCTTCCCTTCCCTCTCCCTTCCCTCTCCCTCCCTCCCTTCCCTCTCCCTCCCTTCCCTCTCCCTCCCTTCCCTCTCCCTTCCCTCCCTCTCCCTTCCCACCCTCTCCTTTCCCTCTCCCTCTCCCTCTCCCTTCCCTCCCTCTCCCTTCCCTCCCTCTCCCTTCCCTCCCTCTCCTTTCCCTCCCTCTCCCTTCCCTCCCTCTCCCTTCCCTCCCTCTCCCTTCCCTCCCTCTCCCTTGCCTCCCTCTCCCTTCCCTCCCTCTCCCCTCTCCCTCTCCCTTCCCTCTCCCTCGGGAGTGCAGGCCCCTGATTTTGCTCCATCATCATTATCTCCCTGGCTGATTACAGGGAGCACCCTACTGCCTCTGCATGCCCTTCTCTTTCTTCTTTCTCTTCCTTCCTTCTCCTTCCTTCTCCTTCCCTTCCCTTCCCTTCCCTTCCTTCTCCCTTCCCTTCCTTTCCCCCTTCCCTTCCTCTCCCTCCCTCTCCCTCTCTCCCTCTCCCTCCCTTCCCTCTCCCTCCCCCTTCCCTTTCTCTCTCCTCCTCCCTTCCCTCTCCCCTTCCTCCCTCCCTCCACCCTCTCTCCTTTCCCCTCTCCCTCTCCCTCTCCCTTCCCTCCCTCTCTCCCTTCCCTCCTCTCTCTCCTCCTCCCCTCTCCCCCTCCTCTCTCTCCTTCCTCCCTCCCTTCCTTCCTCCCTCTCTCTCCCTTCCCTCCCTCTCCTCCCTTCCCTCCCTCTCTCCCCTTGCTCTCCCTCCCTCCTCTTCCCTCCTCCCTCTCCCCTCTCCCTCTCCCTTCCCTCCCTCCCTCCCTTCCCTCTCTCCCTCTCCCTTCCCCTCTCCCTCTCCCTTCCCTCCTCTCCCTTGCCTCCCTCTCCCTTGCAAGTGCCTCCCCTCCCTTCCCCCTCCCCCCCTCCTCCCTCTTTCCCCCTTCCCCCTCCCCTCTCTCCCTTCCCTCTCCCCTCCCTCTCCCTTCCCTCCCTCTCCCTCTCTCCTTCCCCTCCTCCTCCTTCCTCCTCCCTCTCCCTCCCCTTCCCTCTCCCTCTCCCTCTCCCTCTCCCTCCCTTCCCCTCTCCCTCCTCCTCTCTCTCCCTTCCCTCTCCCTCCCCCCCTCCCCTTCCTCCCTCTCCCTCTCCCTTCCCTCCCTCTCTCTCCCTTCCCCCTCCCTCCTCCCCCTCTTCCCTCCCTCCCTTCCCCTCTCCCTCCCTCTCTCCCTTCCCTCCCTCTCCCTCCTTCCCTCCCTCCCCCTTCCCCCTCCTCCCCCTCTCTCTCTCCCCTTCCCCCTCCCTCCCCCTTCCCCCTCCCTCTCCCTTCCCTCTCCCTCTCCCTTCCCCCTCCCTTCCCTCTCCCTCTCCCGAGTAGCTGGGACTACAGGTGTGCACCATCATGCCTGGCTGATTTTTGTATTTAACATTTTTTTTCAAAAAAAAACCAACAAACTCCCAAAAAACAAAAAACAAACAAAAGGCCAGGTGCGGTCAGCACACCTGTAATCTCAGCTACTCTACTCAGGAGGCTGAGGCAGGAGAGTCGCTTGAGCCCGGGAGGCAGAAGTGACAGTGAGTCGAGATTGTGCCACTGTACTTCTCTTCCTTCCTTCTCCTTCCTTCTCCTTCCCTTCCCTTCCCTTCCCTTCCTTCTCCCTTCCCTTCCTTTCCCC